TGTTTCTCGTATGATCGATTCACCAATTCATTCATGTATCATTCGTATGTTACTCCTCTGATCCCCAATACTATTTCACATTGCTGCAGATCTTCGTTTCTGTTTCTTACTATCCCTCTTATGCTTTATGATCTAGATACGCATATCAACTTTGAAATTGAAATTAGATGTTGAATATTACAATTCAGCTGTAACTTTTTTTCTGATAGTTTCATCATTTCTTGTCGATTGCAGTTTGAGAATGTATAACACGCTTGTGGAGAGATGCTTTACAGATTGTGTGGATACATTCAGACGCAAAACGTTGGATAAGCAAGAGGAGACGTGTGTGAGGAGATGTGCTGAGAAATTCTTGAAGCATTCAATGCGTGTTGGATTGAGATTTGCAGAACTTAACCAAGGTGCAGCTACACCAGATTAATACAAGTATACAACATCTATGGAGGTCACTTTTGCAGTCTAATAGAGTTGCTTTAGTCTTTCAAGTAAACACCATAAACATAAAGAGATATGTATGCTTTCCATTAACGATTGCTTTTCTCCCCCTTTTTTTTGTACTTGTTTGCACAAGTTGAATGACTTGATAAGGTATTTGAAAACATGCTAATGCTAATGCTATTGATTTTCTTGTGCCCTTCTTCTATACTGTGTATATTTAACCCTTAGCATCTTAACCTGTTGTAATGATCTAAAAAACTATTTAACATCAAAATTAATGAGACTAACTCAAAATTCAGTTTATTTGAGGAAAGACTAGATTATGTTGCACTATGATTAAAAAAAAAAAAAAAAAAAAGACATTGCCCTGTTTCATTACATAGAACCAAAATTTTATACAAAATAAATTATATTTGTTATTTCTATCCTTATTTATATATTATATAAACAATTACAAGGTCATAATACTTCTATCCTTAAATATATAAACAATTAAGGTCATAATTCCTTACGTAGTTATATCTTATCTCAAATTGAACATAAATGTTACCCCTCTATTCCAAATTAATTGTTCACTTTTGCCTTTTGAAGTTTTTTTTCTTCAACTTGGATCTTAAATATTTTTATTTGTGGTATATATTACTTGATAAAACTTATAACAATAAAAAACATTTAAAATACAATCCAATCATATATTTTGCATCAAGTATTATATATCAAAAACAAAAATATTTAATTAGCAAAGTTGAATAAAAACTTTAAAAATCAAATGTGAATAATTAATTTGGGATGGAGGTGTACATAACTAGAGGTTGCACTCATATGCATTGTATATCTCAAATTCAACATAAAGGAGGGTTTTTTCAAGAAAAAATAAAAAATTGAGAGTTTTTTTTTTTTTTTTTTTTTGCAAATAAAAGGTTTTCTTCAAGTTGAAATACGTATGAATACATTTAAGGTTCATGAAAATCAATATTTAAAAAAAAGACAAAGTTATGTGTTTGCAACCGTACACTCACTAAAACGAATATATAAAAATAATTATAAACCGAACTTGTAAAAAAGGGAAAACGAAGATATTTCAAAAAACCAAAGTTGTAAAAAGTTAGGAATTAAAAAAAAAAAAAATGAACCAAATAGGTAACCAAAACAAAAATGTATGCAAAATATATAAAAGAAAAGTGATGTGGACAGACTTAGCTTAGGATCCGAGATGAACTTGGGTCTGAGTTCTGGTATGGACATGGTGATGAAACGCGACCTCAATGAGGTAAACAAATGTACTAAGGTTGTTTGATATGGTATCACCCACCCCGTTGCCACATCACCATCCATGTTTTTTTCTTCTCTCCACCATTCCTAGAGGGGATGGTGTTCGTCCATGAACAAAGCCTTCTTGAGGCCAAGAAAAAAGAAAAAGAGAGGAAATAATAAAGGAAGAAAGAGAGAAGAGTGTGTTGTCTTGCACCGAGCTCTCCACATGTAGCCATGAGGTGTTAGGTTCGGACGATGTTCCATGAGCCTCAATGTCGTTGAGGTTGTCCACCTGATCCTTTCAAGTTTCAACTGCATTGAGAAGTCCATACTAAATATCCTAACCGATAGGCTAGAGATAACTTGAATTTAAAAACATCACATGTTACTTATAAATATTAACGTAATAATAATAATTTTTCTTTTATTACCTGAACTGATTAATAATAATAATAATTTTTCTTTTTTTAATGTAAAACCAAAACTATTATCAATGATATATGATATTGATATAATTTTAATTTTAAATGTATATTAAAAAAGAGCATTTTGCGTTGAGAGTTTTATTTTTTATTCATTATTATTTTTTTTCTAAATAAAATCAAAAAGCTTTGAAAGAGTTATTCCTTGTAATGAAAGTTATCTCACATTTTTTCAAATGAACTAGCAAGCTCTTTTTCAAAAGGTTTTCATTATTTTATGTATTCGTAGGTGGACTAATTTTTTTTATAAGAGGAATATAAATTGTGGTCTCCCTTAAATATTATGTTAACTATCTTAATGTAATTGGTAAAAAAATATGTATGAACCAAGATTTTCAAACACCATAAATATATAATTAATTTAAGATATAATCCAATAAAAATAGTTTAAATATTTTAAAGAACTCAGCAATCATCGTTTCATTCTCAGTCAAACTCTCGTTTTATAGTTCATGCAAGTTCATAGGTCACATGCTTCACTAATCGTTGATCAACTCTAACTTGCTACAACCACTCATAGACAATTTTATGCCATTTTCCTTCGTTTTTCCCATGCCTAACCAGACCCTATTAGGTTAGGCTTTTGATGTTCATCAAACCGTATAAACCGCCCACACTGCACCAAATAGCATCACATTACGCGGTTCGTAGTTTTGTTAAACCGAACTATGCGGTGTGGTTTGCGGTTTTTAAATACAAAACTGAGGTTAAAACCACACCGCACTGCATCACATATTATATATAAATTAAAGACACTTAAATTTACATTAGTTCAATTAACAAAGCTCAAGATTATTAAGTTTGATTCAGCAAAGCCTAAATATGGTTGGGACTATATGTATTTTTAACATTTTTAATTTAGGAAAAAAGCTTAACAAAAAGCTATGATGTAATATGAACTTTTTATTTTGTTAAGGTGACTTGAAAAAATTTAGCCAAAAAACTTTGCTAATGCTCTAAGAAGTTTGGGGAAAAAAGAAATTCATTTTTGTGGCCATATTTGTGTATTACTTTAATAGATTTATGGTAAATTTTCATTGAGTCCCTACACCAATTTTCGTATTGGTTTAATAGAATTGACTTATTATTATTATTACTATTTTAATAGATTTAAGGTAAAATGTCATACGTCGCTGCCTTCATCTTCTCAGGTTCCGTTCTGAGGGTTCCGGTGGTAGAGAGAGAGATTTTTTTTTATTGGAAAAAACAAAATATAAATAACAAACTCATTATAAAAATGTTTAAAATAAATTAAATCAAACTTGCAACACTCTTTCACATGGATTAGGAAACATCTCTCCATTCCTTGTAGCAGACTCATCATCATTACTCAATCACCCCCATTTCATTCTTCTTCTACTCTCCAATTCGGGTCTCTGTTGTTATTGAGTCTCTGTTTTTCATTTCACTGTGTGTAGGCTTTTATTTTCTAACTAGGGTTTGGACCATCCACACGATGCTGCGGGAACTTAGTATGTTAAAAAAACACAACTCGACATGGATAAGGTTTTTGGGAGAAATTTATGTGCGTTCAGCGAAAAACTTCGCTACAAAGTTAATCATTAAAGTATAAAATAATGTTTCAAAACAAAGAATTATTTATGGATAAGGCTTACAAAATAAAATTTGAAAATGCATCTTAAATCAACTACATTTAATTAAACAACCATATTAAATAGTGATGTTGATGGTTAAAACCTATAAGTTTTGGGGGTTAATACCACAATAAATACCATAAAAACTTATAACCTTTTAATAAAAGGTAATAGTAATAAAAAAAAAGAAAACTATAAAAAAAAATTGTATAAATGACCAAAAATATAACTATAAAATATAATAGGGTACCAAAATCATAAATTATAAAATACTAATAATTAAATTTAAAATTATGTGGAATGAAATTTGTTAGATCAAAAAAATTTAAAGGTAAAAAATTATAAATATAAGAATGTACTATGATCAATTCCAAATATTTATTTCAAGAAAAACTCCTTATTGTACATATTGTATTATATGCTACTAAAGTTCTAACTTGATTTGTTTGCAGGCAACTAAAGATCACCACATATAAAAATAAAGTTTCCATTGAAACAATTATATATGGAAGAAGCGGAAAAAAAAAAAAAAGATCTTAAATAAAAGAAAAGTTATGTACGGGACTAAAAACGTATTATTAACATATAGTAAGGGACTTAAATCTGAAATTATATAATATTAATAAGTTAACTTTAAAATTACGAAGGTTAAAAACTGTTTGACAACGCAAAAAAGGTAAATATGGAAATCTGTTATTGTCAGAAACAAAATCTCTATTTCCAAACAAAGAGTAAAAAGCTTGTATTTTTTTATGTCAAATTTTGTAATTTGGTTTGAACTTAAAAAATTCTGTTCTGAAAATAACATTTGCGAATGGTAAATCGCCAACACAAACCCATTTTGGTATTTAATATATATAACCAGGGATCTTGAAGTTCATAATGATTAATGCGATTTGGTGAATTTAAGGTTTTGATTACATGGGTAAAGGTTCAAAGTTTATTTTATATCAAAGACTCGTTATGCAACTAGGAACCTAGGGTTTCAAGCTATCAACATTTAGATTGAGGATCAAATTTATAGGATCACAGGATTAGGACATAAAACAAGCACACACAATTTCAATTTCTGAATACACAAGTACAAACCAGTTGATCAATTATAACGTATAACAAGGGGAGTTTACATGCCATAATCATCATCAAACACATCAAATCAACACTACTAGCTTCAAACAAGTGATACCTTTTTCAAACAAGAAGAAACTCCATTTGATGATAAAAAAACAAATCACTTTCTACTCCTCCTCTTCTCTGACCTTTTCTTGTCCCTCCCAACTCTTGAATCCTCCTCAAAGCTGCTACCATCTGAATCAGAAGACAAAGCTGCTCTTTTACTCTTACTTTTACTCTTCTTCTTGCTCTTCCTCTTATGTCTCCTACTCGACTCTTCTTCAGAACTATCTGAATCATCATCTGAATGTCTATGGCTTCTCCTTCTCCTTTTCTCTCTCCTACTCTTCCTCTTTTCAGATCGACGTTCTCTATCATCATCATCATCTTCTTCATCTTCATCTGACAACTCATCCTTTCTCCTTCTCTTTTCTTTCTTCCTCTTCTTCCCACTCACATCATCATCACTATCACTATTCCTCCTCTTAACACTCTTCTTCTTTGATCTCCCTCTCTTTCTCCTCTCCTTTGAATCCGACTCATCTTCATCCGAATCATCATCATCATCATCTTTCTTCTTTCTTGATTTACTAATCCCAACCCTCTTCCCGTATTTCAAAGCAATAGCTTTTTCAATCTCTGAATCATAATCAGAATCCGAACTCTCACTCTCCTCTTCATCACTTTCATCATCACTATCATTCTCAGTTCTCTTTCCATTCCCTTTCAACTTCTCTAAACCTGACATAACAGCAGCCTGAATAGCTTCAGGGTCTTTATCTTTGTCTTCTTTGATGCTCAAGAAGTTTCTACATTGAAATGTGAGGTGTCCAACACGTCCACATTTCTTGCAGGACCCACGCGCCTCGTCAGCATTGGACCCTGTGATACGGGCAAGTGCAAGTAGACCCTGGAAGGAAGCATAAGCATTTTCACCTTCAGGCTCTGCATTAGAGGATTGAGGTTGTGCAGCAGATTTCTTGTTGTCTTCTTTGTTAGGGGCATAAGGGTCATATCCAATTGCACTCTGCCATATACCGTGGGTTTGTAGGGCAGCACTGCTGTGCACCCGGTTGTTGGCTGGCATACGAACCCTACCTGCTGTGGCTGGCATCTTGACAACTCAAAGAGATACCTGTCAATTAAGATGATGAATGCAACATATAATCAGATATTGATAGCATGACTATGTCTCATCTGTGGAAAGACTAAAGATTTGAGAATTGAAAAGAGTGTATCGACTCTTAGAAGTATATAAGAGATCTCGTTATCAAATTTTACAAAAAGCTTTCTGAAAAAAACTAGAGTAGAGAGTGTATTGTAAGTTACTAACTCGTAATCGTAAGGGGGGATAATAGTGTGGGTAGGATGGCGAAGTGAGAGGTTAAGGATCGACGACCGGAGGTGGTCTTCAAAATTAGGGTTCGGCGTTCAAAGCAGAATAACAACTTACCCTAGGGTTTTGATGATCGGACTTTTAAATCGTATAGAATTAAAAAGAAAACACGATTCAGAAAGAAAAAACTGGCAATCAAGCAGTTATCAATCATATCGAAACGTAATTGGGGATCCAGATACGATAGATACAACGTAACGTAACACTATCAATAATTACAACTAGGGCATCATAGCAACACATAATCACCGATTAATCGTCAACAGCATTGAATTTCAATAAAAGATGAACAAATTATGATTACCTCTTAGATTGGTCGAAGATCGGGGATGGAAAATCTTCAAGATGGATGGGGGAGAGGAAGATGATTCAAGAAAGTTTCCGTCCTTTCGAGTTTCGTCTAATTTGTGGCAGAAAACAAATTTATAGAAATGGGCTTTTTTCGTAATGGGCTATTAACCCATTTAGGTTTCCCTTTTCCTATTATATTATATTATAAATTAAAAACAATATAACTTGGGCTTAAGTAATCACGTTAGAATATATTCACGTTTTTTTCTCTGAGTTTGAAAATAAAATGCTATCCAATAAATAGTTTAGGTCACAGATTTTAATCTATTTGTTTAATGTTAATATGACATAAAACATTTCAACATGACAATGACTTGTTTTATGTATGCAAGTAATTTTTTTAGGCAGACTAGACAATACAAAAATCGAAGCTTATTAAAAAGAAAAAAAAAAAACTTTACTTTGATCCTTTTTACATCTGGAACTATTTAGTTGCCTAGGTCAAGATTTCATTCCATTTTTAGTATTCAACTTGTCATAAAGTCTAAACCCCATAAACTTATACGAATAAACAAGTTGACATGATACGAAATAAAGGCAAGAATAAGATCAATATTTTTCAACCCATTTAATGTTTCAACCATAGTCATATTTTTCAGGTATACTTAGTGTGTTAAAAATAGTATTTCAACGAAAAGCCTATCAACTTATTTTGACAATAGAAAGAATAACAAGGCCGTTGCTTTAAATTTTTGTATGTTGCAAAATTATCATAAGCAAAAAAAGGTTAGGCTTTATGCATATTATAATTGGACTATCGGACCCAATAAAGTTTTTTTCCCCCATGGAAATATATCATAACATCTAAAAGTAACTTTAGTTAAAAATAATGCAATGAATCAAATCCCAATATGATAATGGGGCATCGTTTTCAATTAATATTATGTCATGATACCACTTGTGATTGTCTTTCTTTTTAAAAATATCAAGAATTACTTTAGAAATTAACTACAACTTTTCTTCTGATGTTGATTGGCTTGTAAGTGGAAAACGTATTTTATTAGCTTAAACTCGATCGTTGTAGAAATCGAGTTGATATATTTTCATATAAATGAATTGAATTTGTTGCTATATACTTATCGTTGATGTGTAGGGTGACAAAGAAAAGCTAAAGAAACAACACAAGTTAAATAATAAACATTAAACAAGTGGAATGATGGTTTTGGATTAATTCATAAATCCTTTATATCTTAGTGTTCATTCTGATTTACTTTCTATGTTTGCTTCTTTTCAAGTTTTCGGTTGCACATGTCAAAGGTATTAATGTGACCTAATTGTTCTATTCAGTTTTATATGGAATTCTCAGTGTCTGTTGTTGTTGCTTTTTGAAGGATGGTTTTTTAAATGTTCACATAGTTACTTCTTAACAAGTTTTCAGTCACAATTAATTTATTTAAATAGTTGAAACTTATTATCTCAATCTTTAGTTCGCTATTTCCTTTAATTTATCCTTTTTAGAAAGTTTAAACATTCGATCAACTAGAAGTATTTTATTAGATTATATAATACTTTATGTTTTTTTAATAAAAAAAATTATTCCAAAAAAAAAAAAAAAAGCCATGCTTAATAAAGTCAACTTGACAGCATTATAAAGCCCATTTTGGAGACATCCGTGACAAACTGCCGTCAGTGCCGTGTTCTAGTCCTGCTCACGGGCCATTGGTTCGGTGGATCATTACGAAGAAGGTTGACGTTTGTGATGACTAGACGTGGAATATGGTCAAAGGCTAGACAAGCATATGGTCAAATAAGACATGTAATGATTGTAATCATATTAATAATTTTGATTTGTGTTCCATTGTATATTAATTTTGTAAACCTAAATAGGTTGCTTCGATGCTTTTTTCTTGCCTCTTTGTTGAAGGTGAATTTAAACAAAAGTAAAGTTTAGGGTATTGGTGTTGATGATTTGGAGACCGAAAGACCTTGCAAGTATTTTGAAGTGTGAGTTTGGTTCTTTTCCCTTTACTTATCTTGGACTTTCGATGGGAGCGAATATGAAACTTTCTAAGTATTGGAACCATATCATTGAGAAGTTTCGATGTAAATTATCTCTATGGAAAAGGAAAAATACCTTTCCTTCGTGAGTCGTCTAACTCTCGTAAAGTTTATCCTCAACAATTTCCCCTTGTATTATTTCTATCTTTTTAGAGCTCCTAAAAAAGTTATTAATATTCTTGATGGTATATGAAGAAGGTTCCTTTAGGGAGGTGACAAAGAGAAAAAGAAAATTAATTGGGTGGCTTGAATTTAGT